GGAAGAGCTTGGAAAAAATAGTCAGCGTGTTCAGACATCTTAATGTAGCAGACAATTCATCTGAAAATGATCTTGCAGTTGCCATTCAAAGTTCACTTGAAGCAACCATCAGAGGTTGGATTATTTTTTCCAGGCTGTTTATCGGAGGTTACACACATGCTTGAAGCCTGCGTGAGCCATACACATTATCCCTGCTTCCGTGCTGTGCTGGTCCTGCCACTCTCCTGTACACCATCCCTAAGAATACTGAAGATAGCAGCAGGATCACTTTCCCAGTTTATCTCTCGATTTACATAATTTGCAAACAGTTTGCATCTAACTTGCCTTCCCAGATTTGGCAGACCTGGAATATGGCAGCCTAAAGGTTAGATTCATACATCGTGTTAAACCACAATTTTAAAATCACGGGTTATTTTTTTATAAAATCATATATATATAACTAGTTTTGCAGAACATGCTAATTTATAAATTATATTTATTTAGATTGGCTGGGATTATACAACATCCTAAACCATATTATGTCTTAGCACAATGTGTGAACCCAGGCAAGGTATGAAGATTTGGTGGTCATGTGCCATGTTATTTCTTCCATGTTACAGGAAACCTTACACTTCATTCTGCATTCTACACATACACTGTATTCTGCAGTTGAACTATAGAAAATTTCTTTGCAGGCTAGTAAAAGCCTCAGGCTAATATAACATGCTTCATCTGCTTCTGTAAGTGCACAACATCTACCCAAGAGCAAGCTGTCATTGCATAATTCTATGTCTTGGTCCTGTGTCTTTTCAGTCAATGTCTTAAGCTGTAATGCCATTGCATATCTGCATCAGATGGGATTAGATCATTCACTTTTAATACAGACACATACAGCAGAAGTATTGAATAAACAAACCCTTTCAGTTTAAGGTAAGAATGTAGCATCATTTTCATTTTCACTCATGCTTCAAAACCTTGGGAAATTTGAATATAAGATCAGGATTTTATATTCTGCAGCGGATAAACTGTAAAGACTCATATGTTATTATTGATTTTCAAGTCAAAATTTTACAACAGCCACAGTTAGTTTTTGGGCTTTCAGGTCAACCTTGGGAGGGATTTGAGAGTTGCAGATTCCCTAATTACGTAACAGACTTTAGGGTTGTGCAAAGCTTTGTCCTGATGAAGATTCAAGAGCAGCACTTCCTTTGAAGATACTTCATGAAAGCATTGGAACCCCTTGCTTCTAAAAAGAGAAACTGTTGCTTTGCTTTGCTTTGCATCATTCCAGCTGCCTCATCTGGCATGTTCATTAGTCAGAAGAGGCTTCTGTACACATACTGTCATATGCAGAAGACAATTCTGTGTTTATGGTGAGCTGTTAGATGTGCCAGAGGAAGCAGATGGAGCAACATGAATATCTCTGTGAAGCATTGCCTCAATGGCACAAAATAATTCATCTAGACAAATTGAGGCTGCATCTCACAGATGGCCTGATGAAATTATACAAATCATAAAGTTTCTCCAAAATTCTATCTACTATTTAATATACAAGCAGAAATTCAGCAGATCCACAGTGACTTCCCACAGTACACCTAATGGATTTCTGACTGCTGCATATTTATAGTATTCATCATATCCCAGACACTACTTCCTACTATAGCAATTATACAGGTAGAAATTACAACTTATGTTTTAAGTTGTAATTGTGACTTGGCATTAGCTAAGAGAAAGTCTAGAAGATGGAAGGCAGCAGAAAAGAATCTAGAGAAAGTCAGAAAGATGGAAGGCAGCAGCAATCAATTTGCATGGTTTTCAGGCAGGGAATGTTGAATATTGCAAAGATCCATAAGCTCTGGATGTACTTCCCTCCACTTGGGAGATAAATTCAGAGTAGCAATTTATTCAAGAAAACTGGGTTGGGCATATTCATCTAAGGATGGGAAATACTGGATATTTTGCACTCTAAGGGCCAGTTCAGATTATTTCCTACAGTGAGTACAAGACATAAGTGTGAAAGCATCTATGCTTGATTTTATGCTGGCTATAGTTCTCCATGACATCTAAACTCAAAAAAAAAAAAAACAGTGGCTTGCATTAATTTGTAGATGGGCAGAACATACTGTAGGTCAGAATATCCTGGTACATCCTTGGGAAATTTGTAGTAAATTGATAAGCATTTTAGGCTCCCAACTATTTGATCCTAGCAATGATTCAAAAGCTTTCCCCTTTAAATGGGCTAAAGTAATCCTTTTATCATTCAGTGCGGTGGCATCTCCATATGAAAGGGGTTGAGCTTGGATGTGACAATGAAACACTGCTTTTCTCATTTGTATGAAAGATCTGTGGATGTTCATGATTCAGTGTAGTGTGCAATGCAATCTAAATAATTTACTCAGAGTTCCTATTATTTACCTAGATCTCCTTGTACCTTGATGCAACAGTGCACTCATCTCTTTTTCTCTTTTGCTCACCAGAGAAAGAGATAGAAAGTCTCTCTTCGCTGGCGAGCAAAAGAGGAGAGATGAGTGCATCTCTTTAGTGCCTCCCAGGCATCCCAACTTAAGCTCATTTTTTAGAGTTTTTTTAAACATTATAATAGTATACTGCCATGCTGCAGAGCAAAACACCATCCCCAAACATAAGGGTAGCAGTAGTGGCAGAGAATATTGGCAGAGAGGAGTGCTAGTGGACAGCCTCACCAGCCTTCTGGAAAATGATGCTTTGTGACTTACCATGCCCACTGAGACAGACATTTTATGAAGGTGTAAAAAAAAATAATATAGGGCTAAAACTCCTCATGTGCTTTCTAGCTCAAAAAAGTTTGAGATCATTGGCCTAAAGCTTGGTTCCTGATTACATCTGAATCAGACCTTGAATGGAAGCTTGTCATGTAGTATTTAAGAGAGAAGGGTGAATCCTATTCAGAAAAGCAGAAGTGGAAGAGAAGAAGTGCTTCAACAAAGAGCCTGCAGAGTGTTGCCTTATTGGGACAATACCTCCTCCAGCTGATCAAGTTAGTGCCATCCCACATGTGGTTGTTCTTATGTAATTCCTGCCAGCCATTTTTAGGCAGTTGATGCAAGTTTTAAAGGTCAGTGGAGAGGATTCTTCACAGTTCAAGAGCAAATGACTCAGACTTTTCTGGCAAAACAGAACAGCTTTTCTTTCCCAAACAACCTGTAGTTTCAGAGCTCTATCTCTTTCTTTGCTATGTTGCTTCTTGGCAGTATCAGACCTTCATGTTCCAAAGAGATTACTTATGCTTGGGGGGAAAAAACTGGACTTAGTTCAGACCTCATCTTAGACAGCCTCTAACACCCAGATTCCTTTCCATGCTTCTAGAAGGCCCTTATATAACATACATGCAATGAGGAGAGTAACTCTTTTCCAACAAAAGGAAGGAGACACTCCATTTTTGCTTCTGTACCAATGCTTGGTACAAAACTAGAAGCATGACAGCATGAGATGTGGTGCATCTGCTCATGTGGGTGAACGATTTATAAAGCAATAGCTAAGCCTCTTCTAGTAAGGAGGAAGAGAAATGTACTTGAGTGTTGTGGAGCTTCAGAGAGACAAGCATTTGTTCTTGTTTTTCTTGTGCAAGAAGCAAGCATGCTCTTTGGTAAAATCAGCTCAAGATATCTTGATGGCTGAAGGACAACTGAAGCCAACTGAACAGCGGGCTAGTTAGGTGGACTAGGCAAGTTGTGATATACATAGGCCTCAGAGGAAAAGAGATTGGGAATTCATAGAATCATTGGGTTGGAAGGGACAGTGGAGGTCTTCCAGTTTAACCCCTTTTTCAGAACAGGAATCCTTATACCATCCCGGACAAATGGCTGTCCAATCTCTTCTTGAAAACCTCCAGTGATGGAGCATTCTTGACTTCAGGAAGCAGGCTATTCCACTGTTTAATAGCTCTCACAGTCAAGAAACTCCAAGTTTGGAGCTCCCTCTGTTAACTTCCACCCACTGGTTCTTGTCTTACCAATGGGTGCTATAGAGAACAAATCCACACCCTGTGCCCTGTGACATCCCTTCATGTATTGGAAGGCTGCTATCATATCTCACTTTAGCCTTCTCTTCCTTAGGCTAAACATGCCAAGTTCCTTTAACTGTTCTTCATTGGATTTAGCCTCCAAACCCTTTACCACTCTTTTCTGCACAATTTCCAGTTTCTCAGCATCTTTTTTGTACTGTGGTGACCAGAACTGGACATAGTATTCTGGGTGCAGTCTGGTGCATGTTGCATAGAATAATACTAACACTTCCCATGTTCCTGACACTATATATCTGTTGATGCACCCAAAGCTGGATTGGCTCTTTTGGTGGCTGTGGCATGCTGCTGGATCATGCTTAATCTGTGGTCTACCAGGACATCCAGACCCTTCTCACAAGTACTATTGCTAAGCCAGGTACTACCTAATTTGTACCTGTGCATGTGGCTTTTCCTACAAGCGCAGAACCTTGTACTTCTCACCACTGAAAAACATTTTGTTGGATAAAGCCTGATATTCAAGTCTATTAAGAGCCTTTTGAACCATGAGCCAGTCTTCTGAAGTATTAGAAATCTTCCCCAGCTTTCTGTTATCCACAAAATGTATGAGCATCTCTTCTATTCCCACATATAAGTTATTAATGAAGATGTTAAAGAGTACTAGGCCCACAACAGAAACTTGAGGTATCCCACTGCATACCTCCCTCCACGTCGACATAGATCCATTAGGGACCACACACTGGCTATCCCACATTGTTGCAGTTTATCAAAAAGGAAGCTATGATCTATTTTGTCTAAGTGCAGTCTAAGCGCACTACATCCACAGCATTCTCTTGGCCCACTAATCTAGTCACACTGTAAAGAAAGCAACAAAATTTGTCTGGCATTCTGTTTTAACAAATCCATGCTGGCTTCTGCTAATCAATTTGTTTAGGTGTTTTTAATATATATTTTATTTTTCAAAATACAAATTACAAAAAAATGGACAAAACATCTAAATATACGTACAAAAAAACCCACACACAATTTAATGAGACATAGCAGAAGATCCAGTGACTTTGCCCTTTCTAGCTTTAATAATAGTAACAACAATCCCTAGAGGCAGAGAGAAAAGTGATATGAATCTCCACACCCACAAGTCTTTCAGCTCAGGTAGTATATTGGAAAGAAATACTGAGCTACCACGATCTGCACAGGGTTCAGTGGAGAGAAAGATGTGAGGCCATGGAGAAGAAATGCAGTGAGTATGATTGTCACCTCTTTTAGGAGTTATCACAGGAGAGAGAAGAAAATCACTCTTGTAATATTCAAACCTATTTGATAAGACCCAGAAGAATTGACTGTACCTTTTTTCTTGCTGCATTTTGCAGAAGGATTTTGCAGTAGGTGGAGAAATACAGTTGAACTGATTTTAGTACTAACATGTAGAGACAAATAAAGGTGAGAATGACTTGAAAGAGAGAGGGAAAATCTTCTGCCATTGGGAACCTGTTGATTTAATTTTCACTTCCAATATTGGATCATCTTAACTCCTGGTATAAACTCTGCCAGAGTTGGCTCAGTTTTAACAAAGGCAGTGCAGGGGCATGGAGGTCTGAAGATGTGGCAACTGCAACACAATGAGCCTGCATGAGAGCATGGGTCAATAATATATCCTTGACAAGATACTGTACTTGAACATGCAATATGGAAATAGTTATGCCTACCTTATCTTATATACAATGGAACAGATTGCTCCCTACTTTAAAAAAGTTATAGTAACAATGGCATTGAAAGTGCAGAATATATTAAGATCTAGAAGATTAAGATGTAGGTTGAGAAGTCCACTAGGTAGATCAGAAGTGGAGCTCAGAAGTTCAACACACGCTGGGGTGCAAAAGCATTGTAAGTTTCTTAACACAACACTCTAACCACTTTACAAAACTTTAGAATGAGATGTCAGTGGTTCCTCTAGAGAACAGAAATGAGAGCCAAGCTTTCCTGGAAGTTGGTGTATCCACTGCTCCAATCCTCCTCAGCAGCACAATCCCAGGGTAGTGTGTCCTCTATGCAAAAGGATATACTCCATTTAGACGGGAAACAATACCAGAGATGTCTACCTGTTCTTCACAAAAACTAAGCATGTACTTCAGGACTTCCCCCAGAGCATTTTTTTGCAATGCAAATAAGAGAAACCCCACTGTAATTTGGGAAGGGTTTCCTGGAAGTAATTTTAAAATCAGTCTTTGCCATTTATAACATTCAAACCAGAGCCATGTTAGTTGTTTTTTTAATCAATTTATTCAGGTTATTTATGATGAAAGGATGAAATAAAAAAAATTCTTGATCTTTATAGCACCAAAAAGACTAACTACTTTTTAAGATACTAGAAAATATTGTAATGAGCTCATTGTTTCAACATTCTGGTGAGTTACACTTTCTGAACAAGAAACTAAGCTCGTGGTATCCATTGCAGTTATTCAACACAGAATTTAATCTAAAACTCATATGATTAACAAGGTACCCACTTTCATTTTTAATGTGTATTCTCATGTTGCTCCTTATTTTTAAGAGTTACAGTGATCTTAATAATTATACCAAATTTCAGGAGGTATAGCTTGTCAGGAACAGATTTATAATTGCTCCTTATAGTCAGTCAATGTTATTTAAATGGGGGAGGAGGGCAGTGGTGCCCAGAAAGGGAAGCAGCAGTGGGGACTGACAACATGGAATACTACCAATAGTTGTCATGGACCAAAGAGAAGCAGAGGAGATTGAGAGACTGGCATAGCAGAAAACAATATTTTCATCAGCTATAGAAAATGATGCTTCTGATGGTGACAGACATCAGGCAAGGCAGCAGACATTGTACAGATCCAGACCACAACACTGTTCCATAGGAGAAGAGCTCTTTACCAACATCATCATCATCCCTCCATACTACTCCTGCTTCTCCTTCCATCCAAATTTCTAAACTACTTGCATGAGAAGTAATGCAAAGCAGATTAGGAGGACCTGCAACCTCATTATTGTGTTCCTTTTTAGACTGTGAAGTTGTATGTCATTTTAACCAATACACAGCCAAACTAAATGTAGGGAATGTCCTCACATTTTTATTAATGGCCAAGGTTTCTACCGCTGGCAGACTTCCCATAATCTTCCTTTGGATTTCATGTAGCTAAGGTCATAGTCAATTTTTTATAGCAATGCTCCTAAGTTATTGAACACAAATCTGTAACTACAAAGTAATGAACTTACAGTAGCTAGGAAAGAATGATAAAAAGCATTTTTCAAAAGCAAGGCAAATGTGTGCATTGTTGATTTTCTTGAAATGTTATTAATAGTTATACTAATGGCTTTCCTGTGTCAGGTCCCTTCCAATTCTATTGTGTATAAGCCGTGTTTGAGTATTTGGCCTGAACAGAAAAGATCAAGACAAGCAGGGTCAGGATCCTATGTATAGTGGCCCTATTCCAGTATCCTCCCTCCCCTCTGTGGTTTCTGGTGTTGATTAGGAAAAACTGAAGGGGAACAAGCATTCACTTGAACATTAGTAGATTAGTAGACTCTTCCATGAGAACAGGGAGTTTCCCCAAATATGAAAAAAATGGGAACAAGAAAGCAGGAATGGTAATATTCAGGACAGTGCATACTCTTATTTCACACTGTTTTACTTGTTAGGCATAACTCCTGAATAAGGGTAAAGAGGCCTCTAATAAGTGATGAGTCTGCATCCGTTTTCCATCTTCTTACCAGGGATTCTGGCAAGAAGGGATAGGGGCAGTCCCAGTGCCATTTTGGATTCATAAATATGTTTCGAAAGGCAATGGGAGCTCTTACCTTTCTATTTCCTGCTTTCCCATGCCCCAAAGTAAATAAATAAGTCTTGGGACAGTGGAAGAAAACGATGGTGGCGTCCTTCAGTCTTCAGAAGACTGAAATAGACAAGCCCTCAGACTTGCATGTGAATTTGGATGTTCTTATCTTGATGTTTGCACCCTTTAATACTATGAATGGTATCTAAGGATTCTAAGACACGAGCAACGTTACACAATATGGATGCTGATGTGATTCACTGAGCTGAAATTATGGATTGTCAGGACACTGGCTCAGCAAGTGCTAATCTTATGGCAGAAAGCAGAGGGACACAGAACCAACTCATTTATAGAAGTTTCAGGATCCCAAAATCCCACTGGGTTGCTTCTTAAGGTGCTTAATTTTTTTTATTCTCTGCATCTATTCCAGCAGCATCTTCCTGATAACATGTGACTTCTCAGATCAGAGTGGCAGGCTTACAATTGCTCCTTCCAGATCAGCCACTTGATTAACTGAAGACAGATGCTCTCTGCTCTTTCAACTGTGAAATTACCATAGCATGTCTGACATGCTCAGATTCAATAACGAGCATGTTCTTCGCCCTCAGGGTTCATTTTATTCCAGCATGGTTCACCCAGCACCAGGCTGGTGGCACACTGAGTGATGGAATGATTCCGCTTTGTCACACTTGCTGCAACTGTCTCCTGAATCACAGATGTCCATCACTGTAGATAAGACTACTGACAATAGAAAGCAAACTGTCAGTCCAATAGGAAACTTTGTCAATGCCTTATCTAGAGACCAAGTTCTTACGTATCACAGCAAAAACAGAGCAGAAAAACAGAAGCTGTTTCTAACCATTGCTGTGATCCATATTTGGCTGGCTTCACCAGGCATTATCTCATTTTGCTGCACCAGAGAAAGTACAGGTCTTCGTTCAGTTGCAGCTAGGAATGGCCTTTTGTCCACCAGCAGGTGAATTCACGGGTATGAATTCCTCTACCCTCTCCACATTGAGCTGAGAGTCAGATTTCTTTGACCCATTCACCAGAATCTGTGTGGTTGGTGATGCCTCTTGTTGAAATGCTGAAAAAGGGGAGGATGGAAATTCAACAGTTAGAGTGGAGATAAGCCATACAAGAGACCATGCACTCTCCCTGATTATACTGCAAGAAAGAAATAATGCTGGAGTAAAATGTGCCATTCTCACAGATTTGTGGCAACAGAAAGTACTATAAACCACTTCATATACAGAAAATACTACAGAAATGTTAAGAGCAGCAATAATGAATGTAAGCCCCATAAAATAAACAAAACATTCTTGACATAAAAATAATGAATGCCTTTTTAAAAATAATACCTTTCCCTAACACTATACTATATTTCCCCAGTTGCAATTCCACCACACCACCCTGTATCTGGAATTGCAAAGTACCTCAGGTTAAAAATAATAACAACAACAACAACAACAACAAAAACCTCACATTGCTGAATTGGTTCTGCATAAATCCAGAAAAAAAATATTTCATATGGCAGCTGCCTATGCAGAAGCATACAAATGACTAATATGCACCTTTAAATTTTTCCCTCCTCATTCTGGTGAAGTTCATATTTTGCTAGAAAGAAAGGAAGACCTAATGAAATACCTATGCAGAGTGCTACCTGTTTAAATCATAAAGAGGGGAAGGGAAAAGGTTGTTCTAAACTATTTCCCTTTCTCCCCTCTACAGGGAAGCACTTCTACTAAATGCTACCTAAGAACAAAATGACAGCAGTGGATCACATCCGATTTAGTCCTCAGTCAGACTATCAAATTATATCTGAGTAGAAACAGACTGTGAAGAAACAAACAAACTAGCCTATTCTCCTGTAATGGGGAATATTTTTTGTTCCAGTCTAAAGGTAAAATAATCCAAGCACAGGGAGATGCAGTTGCTGCCTCAACCTTTGCTCTTAAATATTTGAAGAAAAATTAACTTAAAGACTGCTACAAGCACGAAGTGGGTACAGTTAAGATGAGTCATTAATGGAAAGCTCTCTGCAAGAAGTTTGTAGCCTCACTGAACATTATTTTCCTTACTGGGAAGGAATGGATGCAAACAATGCTGTGTGATTTCTTTACCATCCTCTCTAGTCCCTCTCTCCTACTGTTTTCCATTTTACTTTACCCTGAACGTCTGACTTCCCAGCTTAAAAAAGAACATATTTCAGCCATGTTTGTTCATTTGCATTTTTACTTGGGTTGAGAATAGAGGGGACCATAGCTCAGTGACTGAGCACCTTCCTTGCATGCAGACCACTCTAAACTCAACTTCTGTCATCTTCGGAAAGGCCTGGAGAAACTGGGAGGCTGCTGTCAACAATGCTGGGCTAGAGGCATCAATGATTTGTCTCTAAACCAACTCATCTGCAAGCCTTCTGCTGGGCGTTAAGTTTCCTTCTCTTCTCTGTAGGAAGCAGCAGTTTTCTTTCCACTAGAGCCAACCTGGATTCTGCTTCTATAATTCAGGGTTCCAGCATGCCCAAAGCACTAACTACCCACATAAATCAAGGACACACAATTCTTTTGGGGCTGAGTTGGCTTTTGGGTAGCTTAACAGCGTCCAAAAAGTTGCTGGGGCTAACATAAAAACTAAAAATTCACTGAATCTAAATTTAACTATACAGTAAACCTGTGAAATACAGTTAATATTATGATCTTCATGAATGTAATGAATCTGCCCAGCACCTTAAAAGTTATAAGTTGATGGCAACTTTCAGAGGAACTCTGGGGGGTACAGCAAAACTTTCAGTGGCCACATGATACTGTGCATCTCTGATAAAAATGAGGCATTAGTACAATTAACTCTAGTATATAGGACTGTCCTATACACCAGCATGCTGCAACTATCAAGATTGGCCATCATTCAATAAATCTTACTATTTGGCTGCCTCACCTTACTTATCTCAGATAGAAAATATAGCCCTGCTCTCTAGATCTCCTACCCCATCTGTTAGGGTTGAAGGATTAATAATCTCATTATTTGCATGGAACTTTGGATGTGAGATGTAAACATGGAGCCAGAGAGATGGGGTTCACACATTATGTGGTTTGTTTAGTTTTGATTTAACACAGAATTCAATCGCTGATAGTTTTTATCTATGATTTATAGCTTAGTATCATCTATTAATTCAGCCAACTGTGGCTTATTCAATAAACCATGAGAAAGCAAACTATTATGGGTGACTCCTCTTAGAGTCTTGTACTGAGCCACAACATGAGTTCTGCTAGACCAGTGTTTCTCAACAGATGTGTGGACTTCAACTCCCAGAATTCCCCAGCCAGCATGGCCTCTGCTGGGAATTCTAGCTCAGTGTACACTAATCTGGCGGCAGCGACAGCAACTGGCCCTTCTGCCAGGCAGAAATCTTTCTTAATTTCGCCACTGGAGATCGACGTTCAGCTGGAGATACTGGGGAATGAACCGCGTGCAAAGCCCGTCTTCTCCCTAGAGATCATACTCCGGGCTCGTTAACTCAGACAGACCCGGCGGGCGCGACCTGCTTAAGCGTCCTTCGTCCATCCCCTGCCCGCCCCAGGGCTCTCACCCGCCCTGCAGCTGTGCCTGGCGCGCACGACCTGCACCGCTTGCTGGTTCTGGAAGCGCACCAGCGCCAGAGTGATGTCGGCGTTCCAGCTGGGCTCTTCCTGAGGGCAGCGAAAGTCGATCTCGGCGCCGTCGTCCGTCACCACCGTGAAGTAGATGTGCCGCTGCTTCCACTCCACGCACTCGACGGCTTTGACGTGCGCGAAGGCAAGCTCCTTGCAGCGCGTCGAGCCCCGGCTGCTGGCCTCGAAGAGCCGCAGCCCCTTCTCGCCGAGCAGGCAGCGCTTCTTCTTCCAGAGCTGCAGCAGCCCGCCGCTGCGCTTCTCCAGCACCCCCTCCCGCAGGACCTTCTCCGACGCCGCCATGGGGGCAGCGAGCGACGCTGCGGCCGCCGACGGGGGGGCCGCTGCCCGTGGAAACGGCCGCGCGGTCCGCCAGGCGAAGCCGGGTTTTCCTCTTCCTCCGGCTTCCCCGGGAGAAGGCGCGAGCCCGCCCTCTGCCGCGTGAGCCCCGGCCCGGCTCTCCGCGCCTCTCTGCTGGAGGGATCTGCCGCTACATGCCCGCCGCTTGCGCCTCGCTCTTTCTGCTTCCCACTCGCATTCCTTTCCTGCTCAGCCAGAGCCTCGCCCCAGTTTTGCCTGCCAGACAGCGCTCACGCCCAAGTGCGGGACTGCTCTGCTGGAAGCCTGAGGGGTCGGCCCGGCGTGCCCGGCGAGGAAGCCTGCCTGCCTGCCTGCCTGCCGCGGAGGCTGGAAGACCATTTGCACGCCAATGGGCGTACGCGGCGGCTCTGGCAAGCACGGGGCGGGTGACTGAAACCACCCGCTGGAGGGATGCTTCCATCTTCCGCAGAACAGCGAATGCGCGCGGCTGAAAGCCACTGTTCGTACGCGAGCAGAGTTGAACACCTAAGTATTTATCATGTCCGTGGGTAGGGGCATCCCATGTGCTCCTGATCCTGGATGTAGCTCACTTGTGACCCTTTGGTCCAAACTAGTCTCACATGCAAATGCGAGACTATAATCAAACTTGGCAGCTATTTCGGGAGGGGAAGAGAAAAGTGGTGCTGGTGGTGTTTAGCACATGCTTAGAAGAGGCACGTGGAGAGGATTTGTCGGGGAGGGACACAGGAGTAAGATTATCTTCCACCTGGTTGCTTGACACGCACAGTAGGATGGAAACAGTTAGCTAGGAGCAGAATGGGAGTTCCGCTCTCCAAAAGACAAAAAATGTGCAATTCTAGATCTGTGAAAACTGACTTCTTGCTGCATATCCTAGACATTGACTTGTACCTATATGGACATTGGCCCCTGGTTTCTCCTAGCATAGTTCACATTGCACAGCTTTGCTTTCCTGGGTAACTTCTCAGATGTTCTATTAATGGTTTGCAGCGGCTGATAACAACAGTAAATAAAGGGTCGAGGTTCGCAATTCTCTCTTTACCAGCCAGAGCACCTGGTGGCTCTTTCCCCCTTGCAGAGGAGTTGCCTCTTTCCCCAGCTGTTCATTTTCTGCTTCAAATTATAGCCTGCAATCACTTCTTTCAATGGGGGAATGGTAGTCATATGTACTCCCCCCACCAAATACCCCCAGATGCAATTATGAGCATAAACTCAGTTAAAGTATTTAATCATGTCTCTCTAATTGCACAGGTGTTTCATAATGTTGAAGTTAAACAATGCTGAGAATCTCCTGATAGGTTATTAGATAGCAAATGAAATAAATTGTTGTCTCCAAAATTATGGAGATTAGAAACGTGATATGCAAAATACTTTAAAGCATCTTGGAACATGAATCCTTTTAACAGAGGGAACTAGAACAGAAATTTAGGAAACGTGAGTCATTATCTCACAATATATTGTAAAGCACCTTTCCAATGTTGTATTTGCAATAAGTATCAAACCATTATTGAATCTGTCCAGATATTTTTTAATGCAACTGAAGGCTGCAATTCTGTGCACACTTAACTTGGAAAAAAAATTGCACAGATTCCTATGGACATCTATCTAAACCGTATTCTTTAGGATTAGGCACACTTCAGAAATGATTCATGAGAAGTTCTTTGGACTGTGTCTGAGCACCTCCCTGTAATTCTTTAAAACAGCCCAATTTTTTTTAGGCTATGCCTGTGTGTGGTCCACTGTGCTTCTTCTGAATCATTTTTGAAATGTGTATAGCCCTAATATTATACTTTTTAAAAGTAGCATTGCATAGGTTGTTAGTGGTATTATACTGATGTTAGGGAGAACTACATTGTTTCTTGTTGCTTTAGGTTCTTAGCACTGCTTTTTAAGCTCCTGCTGAATGAAGTTTTAATAAACATGCACTTCACAGTAGCAGCATATTGCAATTATTCTGGTAGCCAAATTATTAAATGAATGCTTTGATTTACCAGCCCAAAACTTGTAGGAGAAGAGTCATGTTAGTCTATGGTAGCAAAAAAATCAGTCTGGTATCACCTTTTCTGAATAACACATTTTATTAAAAGGCATAAGCTTTGGTGAGCTGCAATTCACTTCATCAGAACTGCAGCTCACGAAAATTTATGCCTTTTAATAAAATATGTCAGTCCAAAAATAAAACTGGGCTGTAATCAAAGTTGGCTTACGGGAACAATATTCCAGGTGCATACAAATGATTTTTTTTACTTTCCTTTTATATATAATTTTTATTAAGACTTTTAAACAAGAAAATAAAAACTAACAAACAAATATAAAAGAGAAAAAAGAGAAAGAAAGAAATCAAAGAAAAAACAAAAAGTGCAAGAAAAGAAAACAGTTGAAGAAAAATAGAAAAGAAAAAAGATACAAAGAAGTGGCTTCCGATATTCTTCACAGCAGTTATAAGCACAAATATATTTTAACCTCTCTCTCTAAAGTTACATCACATTCTTCTTCTTTCTGTAATCTATCCTGTCTAATCATCAAAACCATAAATCACAAGGTCATTTTTTTGTCATTTTTACACAAAAAGTCCATAAGAGGCTTCCAGTCACTAATAAATGTAGATAGTGTCTTTTTTCTTTTCAAAGAAGTCAATTTATAAATTTAAGCAAAATCTGTCAATTTCACCAACCATTCCTCCGTAGCGGGTAGCATCTCTCCATCTCTGTACATAAAGTAATATCGCCACAATAATCATATATTGAAATAATCTTCCATGGCTTTTTTCTAACTGTTTAGCCATTAATCCTAAAAGGAAAAGTTCCGGCTTCAATTGAATATTGATATTTAAAAACCTCTGTATCAAAGTATATATTTGAATCCAATTTTTTTTTTTAGCCTTTTTACATATTCACCAAGCCTGATAAAATGTCCGTTCATGCTTTTCACATTTCCAACATACATTTGAAATGCCTTTATACATTCTAGATAATTTCTCTGGCGTCATGTACCAATGATAGATCATTTTATAAAAATTCTCTTTCAGATCACAACACAATCTAAATTTCAACCCTTTTAACCACATATTTTCCCGCTGATCCATCTGTATATTATAACCAATATTCTTAACCTACTTTATTACACATTCTTTAACCTGTTCTTTCTGTTTCAAATTTCAACAGAAGTTTGTACATTTTAGCAATTACATGTTCATCACTACAAAATTGTATTTTAAATTTGACTTACTTTGCTCCATACCATAACTCTTTTTATCCATTTTAAATCTTTCAGATAACTGTAAATGGGAAAACCATTGACAACTATATCCTTCTGCTATTAATTGTTTTCTTGATTTGATCTTAAATTCTCCTTGATAGTTTCCAATAAGTCCCAGTATGTCAGCCATTATATCTTTGTCTACCATTTCTCTTCTATAATATGCTTCTTGAGTTGAGATCCATAAAGGTGTTTTTGGTCACAACCTGGGTTTATATCTATTCGATATTCTCAATATGGCACATATAATAAAATGATTTTTAAAGTCCACATTTATTTTAACTTTACCATACCATAAATATCCATGCAATCCAAAACTCTGGTCATGACCTTCTAACTCTAAAAGTCTCTTGTTTCTCAGCAACATCCATTCTTTCATCCAGACCAAACAACAAGAATAAAATGATTTTTAAAGTCCACATTTATTTTAACTTTACCATACCATAAATATCCATGCAATCCAAAACTCTGGTCATGACCTTCTAACTCTAAAAGTCTCTTGTTTCTCAGCAACATCCATTCTTTCATCCAGACCAAACAACAAGCAACAAAATACTATTTCAAATCTAGTAAACCCAATCCTCCTCTTTCCTTTGCATCTTGTAATACTTTATATTTAACTTGTGTTTTTTTCCATATAAATTTAGATATGTCTCTTTGCCATTGTTTAAATGGTACATCCATTGTCAAAACAGGTATTGTCTGAAACAAAAGCATCATTCTTGACAAAACATTTTTATCACAGAAATTCTTCCCAACAGTGACAATTTTAATTTCTCCCATCTTAACATGTCCTTCTTAATTTCAGTCCATG